CCCCCCCACCACCACCCTTGCCTTATATGACACAGCATAGTGTTTGGCTGAATGTCTGATAGCAGAAAGCAATTCACAACCATTTTTGCCTGCTTTAGCATACATTTGCTTTAGCATTTAACTGCCTTTGCTTTCACAAATATCATCCATTTGATTTCCTCTTGGTGCTCCTGGCATTAACCGGACAGTGGCTTTGCAAGTTGAGACATCTCAGGTCTTTGAGTTTTGAACGTCCAGAAATCATTACTGTCTAAGTGCATAATTTCCTACTGCTGCTGTGTCCAGTCATAGCTATAATTTTTTTGAAAGGGGTTAACGGCAATCTTCTTGCATTCTTGAGATCTCAACTTAACTCTCTCCTGAAACCTTGACCTGAGCAGTTAGCTCAGATGAGTATTACTCAGGCACTCTGTTGAAGCTTTTTCTATGGAAACTATAAAATCGTGTCTCAGAATTTAGAGAACTAATAGCTGATTTTCTAAAGCTGCAATTCATCCTAAGAAAACGTTGCAAACTGCATCTTCTTTTTTTTTACCTAAAGCTTTTTTGCGTTTTATATAATCTGAATGTATTCAGTACTCAATGTTCTTTGCAGTGCCTCCTGATACTCATGAAGAATTTTCTTTCCACTTCTCGCAGCTGGAAGGGTCAAATCTAAACCTCTTGAGATGAACTTCCAGATTGTTTTGCTTTGTATTTTTGAAGATAATGAGAAAATATTCTGTTTCCACATGCATTCCCAGAATGGATATTGAAATGCCTCCAGCTCTTTTATCAGCTTTCCAATGCTGACTCAAAACTTTGCTGGTGTTTATTAAAAGAGGACCCCAGCTTCCTGAGTGGCTTTATTTAGAAATTACTTCCCACTTAAATTTACAAAGCAGCAACGTGAAGGTGGTACCTTGTTCAAATATCATGCACTAACAGTGGCATCCACATCAGATAAGTCTGTCAGGACAATCTGGTAGTCATTCTTCTGCAGTTCTCCAGATACCCATTTGCAAGCCTGGTACATTGCTTTGGACTCCCATGCAGTGGGAATGCACCGAGAGAAGCATTTGAGAAAGTGCTGGCAGGGGAATGGGAAGTTCCTTGCCAACTCAATTACTGAAACTTTTTCCAGTGTGCTGGTATTGTGCATTCCAGCACCTGCCCTCCTTTCCTCCTCCTTTAAATTCCTATTTCTGCGATTCATAGTGCTCTACATATGAGAAAAAATTGGGGTGGCAAGTGGCCCCACATAACAGAGTATCCCTCTTACGTACAGAGACAGCGTACATGCCGAGAGCAAGTGGATGCTGACAGAAATTTCTCTGCTTTTGGATAGGGCTCCACTCTAAGCAGAGTTCCTCATGCTTGATAAGCTTTGGTTTCACCTGCCCTCTTGAAAAAATATTAAAATTGTTGCTTTTGAGGTGCTTGGTTTTGTTGGGTTTTGGTTGTCTTGGTTGTGTTCTGTTTAGTCTCAATCTTTCAACAATGCTGGTAGATGCTGTTGCCTCCTCTGCTTCGTCCATGCCCCTCTAACTTGACAGAAATAGATGTGACAGGAAGTAAAATTATTGCCTTCTTGCTCAGCTTTCTGAAATTCTCAACCCCACAGTATTGTGGTTTTGTTCATGAGATAACAGAGCAATTCGTTTCCCTCTGGTTCAGGCTCAGTTGTTCATAAGAGCCAAGGTATTCAGAGAACACTATCAAATACCTCTGCAAGGAAATTAGACAACACTATTTCTCTCTATGGGAAAACTTATAACCTGGGTAACATTTTCAAAATTAACCGGGTGATTCAGAGAGGCAAAATCTCACTTTTAAAAATCAGTCCATCGTCCACAAGTCCTAACCTACATACAATGTGCTTGAGGAATTTAATTGTACAGGTGCCAGAGGGTATTTTGCTGGCAGTTGCAGATGTGGGGATTGGTACATCACAATTTGAGCTGGTGGGAAGCCATATAACAGGGGTGTAATCTGGATTTGAGGAATAGTGGCTCTCAGTTCAGGCAAGGATGAAGTTCTGTCAACTGCAAACAGCATCACTAACAAAAGAAAAAAAAAAAATAAATCTCAAGCTTCATACCAGCATACTTTCTCTTTTAATCTCTCTGGAAACCTTTTGAACATGGAGTGGGTCCAGTCCTGAGCTGATGCCTGGGTGTAGTTTCATCAACATAAGAATATTCCTGAACAATCTTACCTAGAGACATTGTCCATTACTAAAAGGAAAGATGTTTTTAAAGATAAATCAAAGTATTATATATTTAAGTCATCTTTGTGTAAGTAGTACTTTGGTAGCTTTTTGTCTTAAGTAATCTTTATGTAACAAGGGAGTTTTAAAAGTATTGTGAAAGTTTATTGTGACATGGGGAAAATTGGAAAATAAATTGGAAAAATTGATAGAAGTGGGAAATTGATTTCAAGCTCCTACACGTGGCTGAGCATTTCTTTTAAAGTTCTATTGGCAGTGTAAAATTGTATTATGTTTTTGTAACACTATCACATGCAATCTGTGCATAAATTCAGTTTAACAAAGCAAAGGATTATAATATTCCTAAACATGTCAGAAAATAAAAAGTGCCCTTTCTGTCTATACAATAAATATCCTATCTGGATTTTGTTGTAAATTGTAGTGCCAATGACACAGTTGTATTCAGAGACATAAAACCTAGCTCTTGTTGATATTATTTAGATTCTTAGTAAGTTTTTTTTTAAATCTCAAGGAACTAATAATAATTACGAGAAGCAGCAAGTAACTCCAACAATGAGATTTTTTAAATGTGTTTCTATTTAAGTTCATGACAAAACTCCCATTGAATTAACTTGAAATGAGATTAAATAAATGAAAATTCATTTTTACCTGTGCATACAGATAGAATTAAAATGTAAGATCTTGTTTTAACATCCTTGTCTTCTGTATAACAGCTATTCCAGGCAGAGATGTTCAGCCGCCAGCAGATTTTGCATTCAATTATCTCTGATGGGCAGCACCTCCTAGAACAAGGCCAGGTGGATGACAGGTAGACACCCCTGTGTTGTTGCTGCTGCTGGTTATGTGAAGTAATGCTTAGACAAGTGGGGGACTTCCAAACAGAGAAGGTAGCAGATGTCATTGTTCAGATCATGCACTTCTGAGGTAGAACTTAACTATCACTGTGGTTAAGCTATTAATTAGCCAGTTCTTAAATAAGACAGTGTTCTTTAGGATGCTGTGGAGTATGTGAATGTGTGAGTGCATTTGGGAATACAACAGCCTTGAGGCTGCTTCTCTGACAAAGATTTTGGTTTGGATTATCAAGCATGTTACATGTATGTCTATTTTGATGTACTTTCAAAATGTCACTTTCACCAACGGAGCCTGCAATGACAGATTTAGTGAGTTACACCCGGTTTATGCCAGCTGGGAATGTGTCTTTATCAGGAGGATCCCCTACTGCCATTTAAGAACACCTGCAGCCTAAACATGATGGAATAAGAATTCACTGCTGTCTGAAATTTTATTTTAAACACTTATGATTAGATGAATGAAAATCAGTGAAACACCAATGGCTTCACACTTGTGCGTATGCACTGACTTTGATAAGGGTGTCATGGTCCTAACATAAGATAAACTGGGATTATTGGGATGTGAGAATTTTGTTAATGCTGTGTATATCTTATGCCTGCTTTGAGCTCAGTAGTAAATGTGGGGGTGAATTATGAAATCTGCATGATTTACTATGAATTTAGCTGATCCAAACTGGCAAAACCTGTAGGTTTTCTTTGTATATTTCTGGGGAGAAGGTAGAAGAGTTTTATGTGTTAAAGGCTTGGATTTTTTAAGGTCTCAATAATTGGAGCCCTTTGATTCTCCCAGTACATGTGAAATTCTCATCCTGTCAGCTACCCATGAGACTTCAGTGCCTTTCTCCTAGTGTTTCATCATTGACAGCCAGAAAACATCTTCCCTGTCCCTTCAGTTTATTTCATTAAACAAATAGATAAAGTATGAAGTTTACTATGTTTTTTTATTCATTTATCTATTTATAATAGGGATGAATTTAACCTGAAGCTGACTCTTCTAAGTAATCAATGGCAAGGAGTAATTCGCCGGGCACAGCAGAGGAGGGGGATCATTGACAGCCAGATTCACCAGTGGCAACGCTACAGGGAGATGGCAGAGAAGCTGCGCAAGTGGCTGGTGGAAATATCCTGTCAGCCAGTGAGTGGGCTGGGCACCGCTCCTATCCCATTGCAGCAAGCCAGAGCGCTACTGGATGAAGTGCAGGTATGTCCAGTGGGTTTGAAGAAAGAGGAAAAAATCCCCGCCTTTTTTCAGCCTTCATTTAAAACATTCTTAAAAATATATTGGGTTCAGACTGTCTGCTTTGCAGAAAGCAAGACTGGATGTTAGTTCTTCTTTAGGATTGGCATAGCCTCAGAAGCAGCAGTGTGATGGAAACAAAGTGGCAGTTCATAAAGAACATGCAATGGAGAATTTACTGGGCCCTCTCTCCCGAGCCTTGTTCACTTCTGGTTTTGCTTTGTAGCTAGTGTCACACTGAAACTGTCTTGAAAAAAACAATGATGTCCTGTTTGAGGAATGTATTCTAGCTAACAGAAAGGATACCTTGAATGTCCATCTTCATGTGAGGCTAACAGCATCTGTTTAACAACTTGGTGTCTTCAAGCTTTTTGGCTGGAAGATACACGTAATAATAAAGCTTTGTAGCTTAATAGGCTCTAGAGCAACTAGTTCTCCTTAAGAGCAATTGAGATACTGATATCAATGGGGAGAAAGAAGTCTTTCATATCTTTATCTCCTTGGAGAAATTTTCTAAAGGTCTGTTGCAGTAAGTGATTGTAAAAAGGTTAGGGTAAAGCATTTGGGCAGTAGCTCATGCTTAAGCCAAGGTATGCAATCAATTAAAGTATGGGCTTGAGAATGAATTATACTGAATTGCTAATTGTAATTAAAAAGACAAAGCTGACAGAAAACTGTTAATATTTTCAGCTTAAAGAGAAAGTTCTCCTAAGACAGCAAGGGAGTTATATCCTCACTGTGGAAGCTGGGAAGCAACTGCTGCTCTCTGCTGACCCTGGAGCTGAGGCAGCCCTGCAGACAGAGCTTACCGAAATTCAGGAGCGCTGGAAGAAAGCTAGCACCCAACTGGAGCAACAAAAGAAACAGCTTGCTTTACTACTGAAAGTAAGTGTGTGATCTCAGCAAGTTCATGGTTTCTCTACTGTGAACCCTGTTGAAGAAAAGCATTCTGAAGGAATAAGCACAAATACGGGAATTGCATATATGCTACACAAGCTCAAGATTTCATTTCACCACCTCTGAAACTAGGGGTGGTAATACTTCACAGTAGGCTTGTGTGTTAATTGATATCTTTTAATCAATATTTCTAGAATACTGCCAATAAAGGATATTCCTGCCAGTCCTATTTTCAACACAGAGCAAAAGTGTATTTTATTTTGCACCTTGCTGGTTAATTTTTATACATACTGCATTGAAGAACAGACCCGCCTTATTCTCTCTACATGCCAGTGCCAAGATCTATCTAGCAGTGTAGTAGTCTGTGTTTCCTGCCAGTGTCTTGAGTATTTGCATTTACTAGTTTAGTTAAACTTCTGTGATTTTGGAGGCGGGAGCCTTGAACTTTATTTTGATGTAAGCCATGTCCAGAATGCCTGCTAACCTCACTTCAGGTACTGAAGATGATAGGCTAGAATTTAAATTTGGTCTGTTTGTCTTTCCCTTTTACTCATTCTAGGGAGGATAAAAAAAAATTGGACTTGTGTGTATGAATAGAATAGGGCAAGTGCTTTTAGAATAGTTTCAGAGGTCTAATAGAATTACAAAATTACAGACACTTTAGTCTGTAAATAGCAAGAAGCAAAGCAGTGCAAGAAATATTATTTTGGAAAAGTTCAGATAAGTAAATATTTCTTCCTCTTTCAAGCCTTGTTCCTCATACCTCGGCTTCTAGTGTGGGAATTATGACAGGAAATTTTAGTCATGAAAGGTGTTATCTAGGGACACTAAAGGTTCTGTGGTATTTTGTCTCGATGAAAATATGGAACTTAATGCTAGAAGGTGAGGAAGTAGGGAAATTAACATGCAAATTGCATAAATCATCTCATAGATATCAAGCCTTCATTACATTATGCTGTCTTGGTCTTAAATGCATGACTTTTTGTCATCTTCTGACCAAATTGGAAGCACAAGTGTTTATTCTAGAAAATTACGTGTTGCATTAAGGACATCACAGCCTGTTGTCATGTAAGGTCATATTACCCACTAAGGAGAGAAGATGACACTAAAGTGAGGGGTTTTTTTGCAAGACCCGTTGTTTGTAATTCTCCATCCTGAAGATGATAATGAAATAACTGGCATAGATAGGAAAAAAATGGAAGGAGAGAAATACAAAGGCAGCGGTGAAAGGAGATATCCTGGAATAGAAGACTAAGAGAAACAAGTCCCGTATTTCCTGGTATCACACAACTGGCATTCTTTATGAGGTGACTGGCTTATTAGCCATCTTTCTGTCTGTGAGTACATTTTTAATAGGCTTTAACAAACAGATGAGGCAGGCAAAACCATACTGTCACATGACGATTGGTATAGTTTGACTGCACTGGACACATTTAAAATTTTTGAAAGTATGCAAAGACTAAAGCTGGGTGTAGCTGCTAGAATCGTAATAGAATCAGTATAATCCAGATCTGAATTGAGGTCTAATAAACATTCTGCCTTCAGGACTGGGAAAAATCTGAAAAGGGCATAGGAGACTCCCTGGAGAAACTAAGATCATTCAAAAAAAAGCTTTCTCAGCCTTTGCCAGAACACCATGATGAGTTGCATGCAGAACAGATTCGTTGCAAGGTAAAGCACTTGTTCTTGGTTGACTGTTGTCTCATCTTTGCTTGTCTTTGTGCAGTAGCCTCTTCTTTGGTTAATAGGCTTCACATTACTGAGTGTGCAAACCAGTCAGCCATCCCTGTGACAGGAAACTATCCATGTAACATTTGGACATCACAGTGATCTCACTATAATTCAGATCCTGCAGGGTAAATATAGATCTGATCAAAATGAGATCAGACAAAGGGTCTGAAAAGTACTGTAGAAGCGCTAAATACCGTTGTGTTTTTATTATGGAAATTCTAACTTCAAATTTAAACTCCTGGCATCTGAACTGTTGGTTTAGTGCTTTTTATTTGAGGTGAGATTACTGTGGGGGATCTTAGATAACACTTTTATGCTATATTTTTTGCAGTTTAGAAATGGTTTACAACTTGAAAATATTTTCAGTACAGAGAAGTCCAAACCCAATACTTGGAATTCTCAGATACCTTTGAACTTCAGAGAGATTTGTGTAGTATATTAGTTTGTGACTGCTTGTTACAAGGCTGATGTATCATTCTCTGTTGAGGAGTTCTCTCTCTCAGAACTCTGAAAATATTGGTACATATGGGGTTGATGTTTTCTTTTTCTTTTAAATGAGGCTGAAATAGTCCACTTGAAATGGTAGATCTGCTCAGATATGTCTTTAATTCAGTGGGATAACAATGCTTGGTTTTGTGCTTCATCAACACATTCAAAGTTTTTTTTTTGTTAGCAAACCGGTCCTTTTTCCTTGTGCGCTTCTTTTAAGGAGTTAGAGAATGCTGTTGAAGGATGGAGAGATGACCTTGCCCACCTCTCTCTGCTGAAGGACACCCTGTCTATATACATCAGCGCAGATGATATCTCCATCCTCAGTGAGCGCATAGAGCTTCTGCACAGACAGTGGGAGGAGCTGTGCCACCAGGCAAGTACAGTACTGAGCACTGATGTGTGTGAGTATGCAGGCTACAAAAGTCCTGGGAGAAAAATTGAATACGAGTGGCAGCTTTTAGAAAAGATGCATGTAGGCACACTCTGATTCAAAACTGAACTCTTGCTGAATCAGGGACAGCATCCATTGAAATGTTTCCTTTAGTTACAGCTATTGTTTCTAGATCTCTTGAACTTTATCATGGCTGTGACAATTATTAAGCAGCCTTGAAAAAACAACAAAAAAGTCACACTGTGTACTGTGGGACTGTGGCACAGCTGACTGGGGAAAATGCAGAAGTAATACAGTTTACCATGCTTTGGTGGAGGAGCTGTGCTCAGGAAGGATGTCCCCTCCCCTACTCTACATTACTGTGTTGTGCCTTCAGATCTGCTGATAGCTTTTCCTTCATCAGACATTGGTCTCTGCATTTCTCTTAGTCTAAAGGTGACTTGCTTGGCTGCGAAATGAGCCGAGGAGTATTGTTTGATTTTTCAGGTGCATCATGCTGTTAGTATGTTTCTTACCTCCATTTTGCACTTAGAAATCCAGGTAGTGGAGAATCCCTCACTCAGCTTTTCAGATTATTTTAATGTTATTTCTGTGGTTCAGTAGAGATTGCAATCCAGATATATGGGGGCTAACTTTGAAATCGTTACCTCATGTAAGGTATGTGTGAAGGCTTCAAAAACACCCCCAAAGTAGGAAAAATGCTTCACAGTTAGCAGCACAGAACTTATCAGTTAGTTGCATTTGAATAAGCCAATGTAGATATATCTAAACTGCAGTGTAGTCACTGCATGTATGTTTATGGTAAAGGAGGGAGCCAAGTAAAGAAGATTTATCTTAATTTTGTGCATACTTAATGTTTCTGGATGTAACCTAGTGCAACACTTTTTTCCACTGTTGCTTATTTCCGGAAAGCTGCCATCAAGTGTAGAACCACAAAAAGGAAACATGAGATCATGTGTATGGCCCTGTTAAACCTAATACGGTAGTTAAAGACCACATCACTTTTGTTTATGAAAGAGCAGATGCAGTCTTCATCTTCTCAGCTGAAATGATGATATAAAGTCAGAAACAACGCAGTTTACAATGGGGAGGAAGTAAGTAGTTGTACAAATGTCTGAAACTGGAGAAATTACTTTGCTGCTCACCGTCTGCTGCTATTTTGATTTCAATGCCCATCTTTGTCTGTCTGTTCCTATCTATAGTCTGAGGTAGTACCACTGCTATAACAATTTCTTAAACATAGCAATGTTTTCCTTCCTCCTGTATTAATTAGAGCATTTGCCTGTGTGATATTTTATGCTTTTTCTTTCCTGTGAGGGCACACCTCAGTCCTTTGGAATCTCACAGGATGTCATGCCCATTCAGGAGAATAGTCACCTATGAAATGAGTGTATTGGGACCCAAGCAGAAAATTGCTTATGCAAAATATAATGTATCTGTGATTTAGCTTTGTACTTACAAATCATGCTCATGCACAAAGGACACAGTCTTTTGGAGTTTGGCCTATGCTATGCATATACCTATTTTTTGCTTTGGTCAACCATTTCTATCTTCCTTTTTTATTTAATCTCTTAGACTAAAAGGAAACTATTAATATACTTTTAGAAGTGAGCAAAAATTGTAATAACATTTATTTTTTATCTTCTAATGAAACCTTTGGGTTAGAGACATTATAAAACGAGATGTTGACAGGTTACTGAGCTTAACTCTTGCATGCCTTTCTCTCTGCATAGGATGTAGCTAACAGGAAACCTGAGATTAACACTCACCTCTAAACTCACAGGCAGTTACACAAAGTTTTTGCAGTACAGCTTCCTTTTGTTTTAATGGTGAGTAAGTGGCTGGAACACTTTTGCAGGGCCAGAGGAGTTCACATCGAGGCACAAAGTGTTTCAAGCACCTCTTAAATGCATTTGCTATTTTGATTTTATTTACTCTCCACAAATGTTTTCAGGTCTCCTTACGTCGACAACAAGTTAGTGAGAGGCTGAATGAGTGGGCTGTCTTCAGTGAGAAGAACAAGGAGCTCTGTGAGTGGCTGACACAAATGGAAAGTAAGGTTTCTCAAAATGGCGACATCCTCATAGAAGAAATGATTGAGAAACTTAAAAAGGTAGAGTGCAGTGCATGTACACTTACATACTGTTCCTCAACTGCTTGGTTTGTGGTGAAAAGAGGATACTGAATTAGCTGAAATGGAGGTTTTACCTTACACTGATGCTTATAAGTTCCAGTAAGACCGTGTGTTTGTGTTCTTCACTCACTATGCAGCATCTTCCTGCCTTTCTTGAGGTAGGACCTTCCATGATACCAGAAAATTAATTGAAGGCAAAGTCAAAGGCATCTGAATGCTTTACTAAAAGTCCGGTCAGATTGCCTGTAATGAGTTTAACTATAGCAGATACATTTATAGAAGGCATTGTGGTTTGTTTTGGGTTTTTTTTTTTCATTCTTCTGATAAAGTTGTTCATGGTCTGATAAAGTTGTTCATGGTTATACATCTAATTTTTAACAAGTTGTCTCTCCACTGCACCAATCACTAAAAAAAACAACATTCACTCGTATTTTTGTGTGATTCCTTTAGTAGTGTAGAGCTGAGTGTATTCAGAATCAGTACCCTGACTTCTGATTGCTCCTTACCGTCCAGGATTATCAAGAGGAAATCGCTGTAGCCCAGAAGAACAAAATCCAGCTCCAGCAAATGGGAGAGCGACTTGCTAAAGCCAGCCATGAGAGTAAGGCATCAGAGATTGAGTACAAACTTGGCAAGATCAATGACAGGTGGCAACATCTTCTAGATCTTATTGCAGCCAGGTAAAACTGTTGTTTTGTTTCTAAGTGGTACGTGGGACAGATTAATATGCTGGGATGTCATGAATTTAAAAATCTTTTTATTGTCTGTCTGAAACTGATTTATTCTTAAGAGCCAACATACTTCTGTGAAATTCACCTTCCTCTTTTACTGTACAGTACCCAGCATCATTTCTTCAAGAAGAGTAAATTCAAAACATTATCTGCTAGAATGACATAGGATCGGTTGCAGTCAGATTTAGTGAGCCTTGCTTCAGTACCATCTTACTTCAGATGAATGCTTAAAATTGGGTGCAAATGTAGTTTTTCTAAAAAATTCTTGGCAGAGTAATTGAAACAGTGCATCTGTGGTTTTGGATTTTGAGAAGAGCAGTTCCAAAACTAAGCCTTAGTTTTTCTGCCAGATTGTTTTTCCACTGATGGAGAAGAGTAACTGCAGGTAGATGTAGGCACATTGGGCTTAAAGATTCTTTTTACTCAAGGTCAAAAATATAACAGCAGTTTTCATAACTTAAAGGAATACAGGATTATTGTTTGATATGTGAAGAAATTGGTTTATTTTTTTCAATACTTTCTGTTGACTCGTGCTACAGCCTCGCTCCCATTGATGACAATAATTTTGTCACAATTTTGCACTTCACAATATGTACATATACTTTATATTTTACACTTCTGTGATGTAAGAACATATGAGTTAGTAATACTTTAGTCCTGTTAGAGAAAAGGGGTTTGTTTAGTTTCATCATCTTTTTTCACCTGTTTTTTTTTTTCTTTTTAATGTGGTTTTACTGCATTTTTGCTCTGAAACCTGTAAGCATAGGAGCAGTAAATTTTATGTAAGCAGCAGCTTTCTGGTGGCTCCAGCTCATCTTATAGTCGTTCATTTTTAAGTAATGAACACTGTACATTTTTTACAGAATAATTAAGTCAGGAAGTGGTGTGTTACGGTCGAGGTGCCTGCTGGTTTCAGAAGATATGATACATCACCAGTTGTTGAACATAAAGTATATTTGCTGTATTTTTGTGTTTGTCTTTTGAAACACCTGCTCAGACAAATGTTCAAATAATACCTTCAGGAAGTTTCTAATAAAATGTGATTGCATTCAGAAACTGCAAAACACATCTTTAAAAGATCAGTATTGTCTATACAATATCAGAGGTTAGTGTCCTCTGTAGGGACAGGTTCTGTATCATTCTTGGGGTAGGGAGATACAACCTGCAATATTATGCACTTAAAATTTCTCATTCTGTTATCTTCTGAAGCAGGGCGTCAAGTCCTAGTTCTATACTAATTTACATAAAATATTTATTTACTTTTATTTCCATCATTTTAACTTAACCTTCTCAACTAGGGTGCTCAGCACCATTTTATGCAATTCTACATATAACCCTTTCCATTACAGTGTTTACTGAAGCGAAAAAAACCTCTGCAAAGTTTGAATGTTGCATTGCTGAAGTTGGGGAGTAAATGGCGGAGAGGTTTGATTCTAGGTTGTAGAAATTTTGCTAGTTCAGCTTAGGCTGATAGCAGTTAAAGCCCAAGTTATTGATTAATATATGTACAAAGTACTTTCCTTGATGTCTAATTTCCACTGGACAAAAGGTTTTGCATCCCCTGAGATAATTTTTAGAAGGCTCCAGAGGCTCTTTAGAATATGTTGTTATATACTGGGGTTGTGTTCTTTTTATGATAGTTTGGAGTTTGGAATGTAACATGATTTTGGCTGCAGTCAGCTAGTAAATGCAGATTAATTGTTCTGGTCTTGAGAATAAAACACATCTTTTCATATTCTGGATCCCTGAACAGCATTAATAAATTATTAGAGCCTGTGTGCTTTTTTGCAAAACTGGTCATCCCTCGCCTGGAGCATTTTTCTTAGTGGTTCGTTTCCTACAGTTGTGAATGAATAGAAAGTGCCCTGTGAAAATGTTTTAGAAATATAGTATGGTAATACATATCCAGTTTGAAGCTTTACCTATTGATTTTATGCTGTCTGGTGAAACTTCTCCATTCACCTGTAGAAGCCTTTCTTTCTTTCTCACATTCTGTTTCCTTACCTGTTTTTTAATTGCCTCTCCACTCTGAGGAGGTCTGTAACTGCAGAAGAGACAGCTACAGAAAGGTAGCTGTGTCTCTACATCAGAGACTTCTCTTTCTGTCCTTCTAGAACATTTTCATCCTTTCAGATGAATTTTTCTGATATGTCAGCCCCGTGCAAAAAAAACGTTTCAGATGTTTACAGCCAGGAAGCAGTGCTATTGCTGCAACTGCTCAGGCTTTGCAAAGAAGGCTTTGTTGTATGTGTTTTCATCCCTTCCCCTCGCACTCGTGGTCCGCATTCCTGGAGATCAAGTCTGGCACATGTTGGTGAATGCAAGTTTTATTTAGAAACATGACCACTTGTCACCATTCAGTCTCATGTTATCAAGCAACGGCTGCTAACATTTGTTTGGCGTGAAACATTTTCTGCACAGTACTCACCAGCAAAGAGAAGTGTGCCCCCTTTCCTCCCCCCGCCCAAAGCACAGTGGTTGCAGGCTTTTGGAGTGGAAGTTCTTCTTTTTAATGCTGGAAAATTTCATGCTGGTGTTGGAGGACTTGCATGCAGTGAGGATGGCGGAGGACGGCAGTGTGGATTCAGATCTCCCAGACTGTAATTGTGATATCACAAGGCAGGCAGCTATTTTTGTTTGCTTTTGGTTGATACGGTTCTTTCTGAAGTCTTGGCTTGCTGGGAAACTTAATTGAAATACTGATTTGTAGAAATCACTACCTTAGCTAGAAATTACTGTTTTCTGCTCAGTTTAAAAGTAGGTGACAGTGATAACAGCGTACTTTGTTTTACAGCTAGCACTTTTGGATCCTGGAGTACTTTTTTGTTCCTGATGCAGACTTAGAACTAGTAAAATCTCTTAGCTGTCTCAAAGAAACTGTGGACTGGTTTTACTGCTGTTTTTAAATACAAGAGCATGTACACACATGAGAGAAAGCAGACTTTGTATTTGTCTGCTCGCTGTTTGTGTCATCAAAGGGGCATGGCTACAAGCGAGAGAGAAGGAGAGAGGCTGTAAAGAAAGTATTGCAGACTTAACTTACGGACACTGATCTGCCCTCTACATATTAATGACTGTTTTGTAACTGCATGTAATCCTTGAACTAAGCCTACATCATCTTGGATTTTTGATTCAGCTTTGCTTTTACCTTCTTCACATTATCTTTTCCAGAAGTTTTGCTGTTCAGAGTTCTAGAATTTTACTCTTTGAAAGGGGAACCTGTGATCTGACAAGCAAATATAACTGGTGGTACTGGTGCCTGGTCCACAGCAGTATTGCACTTTGGACAATAAATCTTTTTTAATCATAAAAAGATTATTTTAAAACTTATTTTTTAAAAATTGATTTTAATAGTGTCATATTTTTCACTAGTGAGTGTTTCTTGAAACTTTGTCTCCAGTTCCAAGGAGATTTTTTTTTTAAAAAAACTTTTCTGCTTTCTATTGGCTTTGTACAGGCTTAGCTAACATGCTCTTTCTGACTTTTTTCCTGTTGCTTTTAAAGTTCAATATTAGTAACCAGCTGTCTAAATGACTAATGCAGTAGCTATGAGTTCTATATGATTCATTGCTATGTATTTACAGGGTTGTTCCTGTTTAGGTTTTAGTGGAATCTAAGGCTATCTAATTTAGGACTGGTTGAATTAAAGGTATTTGCACTTAATTTCAGCTCCAAGTTGTTCTCCCACTGCCTTTTCTTAATGTAAAATAGACATTTTAAAGTTATTACTTTCTTGGGGAAACTGAGGTACAGTAATTTGAACATGGAAATGTAAGCATCATAAGCTCCTTGACATTTTCAGAAGAGTTTTCATCATGAAACTATAAAAACAAACAATTGAATTCTGCAGTGTTTTCCTTTCTGAGAGTCTTAAGTATTTGTAAAATGTAGCAAGACAGATGTGTGTGTCTGTGTGTGTTATAAAAAACAACCTTTAAAACCACCGTGCCATGGGTCCAACGCTTTGATATCAATGCAGAATCATCATTATCAAGGAGAGGAGTTCTCTCAAGTCTCCTGCAGTAACATGCATGGTGCTACAACAAAGGCATGAGATGATTATTGGAATAATTAACCGTTTAAACATAATCTTGTAAATGAAATAAGAAAAGGTCAAAATTACAGTCGGCTAGGAATCCCACGTACTTGAATGGTTTATAATTTGACCTTTGTCTCTAAGCAGAGCTTTTTGTTTCATTAGCTTTCAGGCCCCGCCATTAGCATGGGAAGATAGGATTTTGAGCTGTTACATTTTTGAGAGATATTTTTGTTGCACACACATTATGTAATTATTTGTACACAGGCACAGTATTCAGTGAAAAGAAGAGCATAGGCATCTTGACTGCTAAAATTCAGAAGGAAAGCTCTTCGACATGATGGATTATGTCTATTATTTGTTCACAGTTATGTTTTCAGAGTAGCTAGAGGCTTGTGCAGTTCAGTTCAAAGAAGTAAGCCCAGCATATTCCAAGAAGCACTTGTTTATTTGCTTCTGTTTGTACCGTAGGCAAGGAACCTGTTATATTAGACTCAGTACAAAAAAAGAACAGTGTTAAGAGTAAATGTAGTAGGGGGTGGGAAGGGAGTTGTCCTTTTCTTTTCTTCTTCTTTTTTTTTTTTTAAATTTTGGAATTTAGGCACAAGGAATTGCAACAGTTTGGCGAGAGGGCAGGTTTAACAGTAGGATTTTGTTTTGGTTTTGGTTGGAGTGATCTTTTAGTATGTCACGCCTTTTTTCTTTTTCTGTCTTGAGTAACTTAGGTCATGTGGCTGAAAATAGCTCTGTTTGGGCCAGGGTTGGTTTTTTGGTCTGGCAGGGATCTATTCCCGTGCAGTCTGCCTGAGGCAAAGAGGGCACTCTCTAAAAGATGGGCCCTGTATCAGGTGTTGCAGGCAAAAAGTAAATAAAATCTGGCACAGATGTTAGGGTACTATACAACTGCAAACAAGAAAAGCCTGGTCCACAGCTTGGGCTTGCAAATGGTAGAGTGACATTGCTTCTATACAGGGCTGACATGACTCATTGTTCCTTTTCTCACCCCAGTGTGCCTGCAAAGGATCAGCAGCATCCAGCCTTGAAAACCTAAGCAGAAAATGGGCAGAATTTCTCTCCTCTTAATTAATGTCAGAGACTGAAAAGCTGCATGTGAGTTCCAGAAGAGTGATAACCAGCCTTCTTGCTCACCCTATGAGCAAGTTTCAACTGGCCCAAACTGTGATGGGTTGACCTTGGCTGGATGCTGGGTGCCACCAATCCGCTCTATCACTCCTCTCTTCAGCATTGCGGGGAGAAAATGAGATGGAAAAGAAAAAAAAAATTGTGGGTCAAGATAAATGCAGTTTAATAAAAGCAAAAGCAAAGGCTTCACATGGTAGCAAAAGGAAAACAAGATTTTATTCTCTACTTCCTATTAGCAGGCAATGTCCAGCCACTTCCTGGGAGGCAGGGCTCAGTAGGCATAGTAGTTGCTCTAGAAGACAAAATGTCATAAAAACCCAATGCGCACACACACACACACACCCCTTCCTCCTCCTTTCCCCTAGCTTTTTTCTCTGAGCTGACATCATATGGTATGGAATATCCCTTTGGTCAGTTTTGGTCAGGTGTCTTGGCTATGTCCCCTCCCAAGATCTTTCTCCCTTCCCAGCCTGCTGGTAGTGGTGGGGGAATGTTGGAGGCACAGCCTTGATGCTGTGAGAGCACTGCTCAGCAGCAGCCCAAACACTGGCATGTTACCTTTCTACATACCAACAGAAAGCACAGCACTGTGAGGGCTGCTATGAGGAAAATTAACTCCATCTCAGCCTGACCCAATACAAAAACCCACAAACTGCCATATGTACAACCATAGGTGATAAGGAGATGGTGTCCCCAGAAATTGGTTGTTATCCTACTATCTCTCCAAGGCTAAACACATAGCTGTGTTTCAGGATAACCTGATGATGGGGACCGGGGCAATATTGCAGCGCAATTGTGTTGACTTTAGACCCTTTATAGGCCAGATTTTCAGATTACCCAGATTTTTTCCAATTCAGATCAGAACCCTGCAGCTGTTGGTCAAGAGACTGTGGGAAGTAAGAAGCATTTGAACTGTTCTTAAGCATGTTTGGTTCTAAAGAGATGCAGTTTGACCATCTGTGATCTAAAGAGAGGGCTAGAAAGAGATAAAAATTTGAAAGATTTAGCTTTTAAGTTTTTTAAGTTGACATTAAGATATCTGCATTTCTTGTTGGTAAGAAAAGGACACCCTTATTAGACTCTTAAAGGTCAGCTGTAACTACTACTTTAAATATGGAAATACTTGATAAATTTGTTGGTTAGTATTAAGGAAAAAATGTGAATTGCTCTGTTTGAATTACAGTATAGTCAGATGGCATTTTGTTTGTTTGATGAATCTGGCAATCTTGTATTTTTCAACCTGATTTAGTCAGTCTATTCCCAGCTGCACTCATCTTCTAAAGCTTTCTGATATTGAAACACTTAAGTGAAAGAGCAATAGAAGCATAAAAGCAAATGTTACTCAAAATTGTTTGTGGTACTACGTAAATGGAAAAAAAAAAGCAAGCTTAGAAACAATTTCAGAATCCACTAATGTATGTTACGTAACATGGCGATAGGAAGGAGAGAATTACTGACAGATTTTTTTGCAGTTGAAACAAGCTGAAGGAAAAAATATTGAGATAAGATGAAGGTTTAGTCAAATTTTCCTCTAAGCTTAATTTTCCCTTGAATAAAAAAAAAAAAACAAAAAAAAAAAACACACCATGATTAATTATTTCCTGTCCATTGCTGTTGCAGGATCAGAGTCTCAAGAAAAATACTACTTAGAAATTACCATGCAGTTACGTTCCAATTTCATCTATTTAAATCTGAAGGAGTCCATTAAGACCAAGAACAACTTAAAGCAGCCCTTGGAATTCAGGAATTCTCACTAAGTTCTCACCTGGGTTTCTCTTTCTAAAACTTATTTATTCAAGGACAATTCTTCACACTGGAATGGGTTGCCCAGAGAGGTGGTAGATGCCCCATCCCTGGAAACATTCAAGGTCAGGTTGGATGGGGCTCTGAGCAACCTGATCTAATTGAAGATGTCACTGCTCATTGCAGGGGGCTTGGACTAGATGATCTTTAAAGGTCCCTTCCAGCCCAAACCATTCTATGATATGTAGTTCAATGGTTAGAAATCAGGAGGGTGAAAAGGGCCTGTTCACTCAGTGCACTCCACTACCAGTACTGGTTAAATGTGTAAGTTATTTGTAATCTAAGAAGAGCTTTTGCCATCTCTTGGTCAAATACACAACTAAATTACTTAGGTTGGGGGGTTTGGTGTGTATGAGTTCATTCAATAAAAAACGTTTTCCTTTCTAAACAAACATTTAACTGATAAAGGTACAGAAGCTTTGAAAATGTTGTCTGTCATTAGTAAGCTCTTAATTTTTCTTAACTGGAATCTATGAATGCAGGACTATTTGTACATATAATATACTTCTGTCACATAATAAAGGAAGACTTCAGAACAGAACTTGCCATCTAAGCTAAGTTTCTCTGAAAACTTCCTGAAACACAAGCTGTGGAAATTCTCCTTCAGGGTGTACTTATGCTGCCGTTTCTTTTTCTTTACAGGGTAAAGAAATTGAAGGAGACCCTTGTTGCAGTGCAACAGCTGGATAAAAACATGAGTAGCCTGAGATCTTGGCTTGCCCACATTGAGTCAGAGCTGTCCAAACCTATTGTCTATGAAACTTGTGACTCTGAGGAGATACAAAGGAAGCTAAATGAACAGCAGGTAAAATACAACACACTTATCAGGTGCATGATGACATGGGGAGAACCAAAGTAGAGTGTCCTTGGGTTGCCCATACCTGGCTCAGTGCTGAGAGGGCATGAGGAAAAGAAGTGTTTAAATATCAAGGCAAGTGGTACTTACTGTGTCACTTATAGAGCCTTCTGCTGGCTTTGACATCGAATCCACCAGGAGCTGATTGACCTTTCCAAGAAAGGTAAGGCACCAAGAGATGTAACTTGAACGAGTTATTGCAATTGTTTTTCCTTTGGGGTTTGTGGTTTTTGTTTGTTTGAATTGTCTCTTCCCAGAGGCAAAACTGACACCTATTAGACCTTGCAAATTTTGCACATGCTTGAAAATCACTATTTTCTAGCAACCTTTCTAACTCAGTTTTATTTTGCAGCTTGTTTGAGAATCACTTTGCACGCAAAGATGCATGAGCTATACATGTGAAGTTAAAATTGGTTGGTTTATAGCACACAAAGCCTTTATGAAGTGCTAGACCAAAATAGTCAACACTGGAACAGGCAGAAGGCAACCGTTTTTTGGCATTAAAACTAATGTTACTCCTAAGAAGATTTACTACACTTTATTTCCTGTTCCACTTCACTGCCCAGTGCAGTTTTACCTAGAAGTACCTTTCTGGAGAGGACTGTTCTGTTGTGTTCCTGTTGGTTATTTATTGGCAAACATACCTTTCTGGTGCTTCACTGGAGATGAGTTAGATGCTCTCCTGAGTTCTTTCTCCAGAGGAGAAAGAAATGCGTGGGAAGAGGAGTGCCAGAATGTTTGGGGGATATTTAATTTATGAAGTGTACAAACTGGCATTTTGCTCCTTTTATCTGGGTATGGGACTGAGACCCAAGAATCCCCTCAGAGTTTTTGCCAGCTCCCCAACTGATTTGCTACATGGCTGTGCAGAACTGCTTATTAATATTCTATATGTAATTTACATAGGGATAATAATTTATAACACACAAACATCACTAATGAGTGGTGTTTCTGAGATAGTCAAGTGCTGGGCAGGGCTAAAAATTGCTATCAACATAGTAGATACTTGAGATTTTTTACTAGCATCCCTATGCAGGCATCCCACAGTTCGTTACAACCACTTATGGGATCTATTCTGGGCACAGAGACTGGTCTACCTCTGCCTTCTGTTTCCTTGTGGTGGTCCCCATGCAGTGACAGTGTGTAGTGATATTCTGTAGGAGTGTGAGTGTTTTAATTTGAACTCCAAAGGGGAGAAATAGAGGTGAATCTTATATTGGGAGGATGCCATGTTCGGAAACTTGATGATTTGATTTGATAACAGTGCAAGCCATGGCTATAATGATAATTTTAAAAAAGCCATCCACCTTCAATATATGGCAACTACTATTTTTATCAGTCAGAGGCTATGTCACTATCCACTGCATCTCAGAAGGCCAGTACATTGGCCATCTTCTCAAGTATTTCATCCCTCTTTCTTCTTCCATTAGCAATCTTATGTTCTTTTCTGTGTCTGATCTTCCACTGAGGTCCTGTTATCTTCCCTGCTCATACTGCTACCAGTTGTTCATATACAAAATTATATTAAAAATATTATGCTGTGAAAGAGGAGGGCCAAATTCCATTTCTGTAACTCCATTACCTACTTCTCAGCATCTACTTCAGCCAAGAATCAGCTTTGCAGATTGCTGGTCTCTGTAGTGAAATGAAAGAGACAATTGAAGCTGGATATCCTGGGGAAGGTAGAGTAACTTCACTGCAGTATTTTCCTAGGGTCACAAACTGCATTTCAAGGATTCCTTGTTTACTTTCTCAGTCTGTTTACCACTTGAAATGTGGGAAAAGGGTGTTTGATTTTGGCTTAGCAAAGGAAAAAAAAAGCAGTATGTGGATGACAGCAGTGCATAAAAGTGGTGTTCCTTTAAGAACTAACCCAAAGGCTAAATGTTCTCTAATAAATATAGACAATTTCAAAAACTGGGAAAGAATTATAAGACTATGGAGAAAAAACAGTGTAGACATTGCTTGTAGAAAGTTTCTGTAGGTGAATAAAAAAGTTTAATCCTTAGGAATCCTCAGGACCGCCAAGTGGCAGTTCTCACTCTTGCTCTGCTCCAAAACAGGAGAGAGGAGATTGTGTTACCTGCACTTGCTTAACCTCAAATCTCATAGCTGTTTGTAGTATGTGTTTCATAGAGTATTGCATCTGTTTATAGTATCCACCCTTATATAACATTTCAGGATGGGTAGAAAGAATTAACCCTTGGACCTTACAATGAAAAAGTATTTTCCAGATTTTTCTAGATTCTACACTTAGAACTCATTTCCTGCTGGAAGGCATTTTCAGAACATCATACTGCTAGTTTTAAGAAAAGTTCCTCTAGTTAGACCTTAAATGTTCGTAGATACAATATGTTGTCACTATATTTCTCTTTGCATGTTGTGGTTTACTTCACTAGCAAAATTATAAAAAGCAGTTTATCTCTACTCATCCTCAAGCTGCCGAGTTCTTGTTCTCCTAAATAAACCTCCACATCTCTAATTGTCCTAATAGTTCTTTTATTCATCTAAATCAGAAGTGAACATAGTATTCTAGATGTAATATATCACTATTTAGTGTAGTCACATTATTACTTCTTTGTCACTATAGGAATTATGTTTCTTGGCTTTGTTACTGTCCATCCTGATTTTTCCATCTAATATTCTGGCAATTCATTGCAAATATAGGCAGGAGTCAAGCAGGGTTTCTTTTCCTTGCACTGATCCAACAGCAATAGCCAATTACTTTTGTGGCTTATCTGACTTGAACCTGTAGTTCAAAATAGGAGCTGAAACATTGCTTCAAGATGAAACATTATCAGCAGTGTAGAACAAGCCATTGCAACCAAGAAACTGACAGGAGAAATAATTCTGATAACATATAATAAGTGCTAAGAGAGTGTAAGCGCATTTTCTTTAGCTGTCCTGAATTTTCCTTTTCCATTTCCAATGAAGATGCTATAGAATTGGAAAGTTGAAGGAAGAAAAATCTACTAGAGATGCACTGTTCAACATGCACTGCTGCTGATTTCCATGTCAAACATGCCACTTTGCAGCTAGCTCACCTGGGGAAGAGTAGGTTCACAAAGGGTACCTCCACCAAACCCTAGCAGTAGAAAAGAACATATTTTCTTGTCACACTTCTCTTACTAACTTATGCTTTACATTTTCTGTGATAATGAGAAAGGGCTGGGAGTAATTCCACCGTTTATTGGTGATGTTGATTAAATGTATGTGAAAGATGCTCAGCTGAGCATGCAGAGCTCTGGCAGTTTGTCCTAGGTGATGGTTTGGTGTTCGTAGTCCCTGGGAGAGCTGTGCATGCCTCCAGGTTTTCCTGGCCTCATTGATAACATTGCCACACCACTTGCGCAGATGCAGTTTCTTAATAGATATTCATTTGGTGTTTTTCTCCTGTTTGCAAGCTTATTAATTTTTTTTTAATACATAGACAAGAAATGCATTTGTACTTACGTGTGTTTTGCAATTTCTCTTAAGAATTGATTTCTTCACCTGCAGGAACTTCAGAGGGACATAGAGAAACACAGCACTGGAGTGGCATCTGTTCTCAATCTGTGTGAAGTGCTTCTTCATGACTGTGATGCTTGTGCCACAGAAGCAGAGTGTGACTCTATCCAGCAGGCTACACGCAATCTGGACAGAAGGTGGAGGAACATTTGTGCAATGTCAATGGAAAGGAGGCTTAAGTAAGTCTAAAATGCCTACAAATTAGTATTTGCTTCCACAGGCACAAACACAGGATGGGATGTATGTTATAGGGTTGTAGTACTGAAGAAAAGGGTGTAGGGGTCAGGAAAAGATCATACACTGAATACAAGTCAATAGCTGTTATGCTGTGTGGAAAAAAAAAAATTTTGGATTACCTTTGTATGTGCCTTTATACAAGGTACAGATATCAATTATCAAATTTTGCTCACAAGACCTTTAACAGAATGATGTCGTATTTCCCTTCATAGAAATGGTTAGAGAGAAACTAGAGAAAGCTTAGATGATAGTGGTGACTCCAAGAGATTTAGAAAACATGACCTAAAAGGGCGAGTTGTAACATTTAAGTTTACCCTAGAACCACTGAAGCCAACAGGGAAACTGGTTGCCTATTGGGCAGAACATTATTCCAGGTGTTAGGGTTTTCATGCACCTAGTGTTCCTCAACAGTTTCTCTTATGTCTGATTTTGTTTATTTGGAAGGATTTTAGAACCGAACACCAATTTGGAATTTCTTCATCTGCCCACCTTAGCTTCTCTGAGCAAGTGTGGTCCATAGAGCCCGTGCATCTCATGTGTGGTCTGGTTTACTGCACATGCTTAGACCATCTGTATGCTGCATGCCCATGATATCCAGAACGTTCATTGATTTCTGTTCCCATCTAGAATAGCATGGGTGACTTTGATAGCCATAATGATGTAGGCTAGATTGGGCCAATGCTATATACTCTGTGTCGACCAGTAGCAATACATGTTTAACTGCTTGAATTCCTGAATTTATGAAGAACTTTTCTGTACCTTTTAAAGTCATGAATCTGATTTCTGTAATGATTACACAAGAACTCTAGGTAAAGTTTATGACTTTTCAAAATTCTGAATTGAACTTTATATGATCTTTGGTTTTGCGGAATAGTCTTAATGTATTTAGTAAAGGTTTTCTTTATTTTATGCAAAAAAAAAAATTCTTGCTTTTAAGGTATGCTGCTCTATATCCACAGGCTGCTATCTTTAAGTAATTTATATTATTGCCATGGTAATTCTTGTATACTGTATATATATAAATACAGCTTATAATTTCTATGTTTGGCACAGTCTGTCTTGAAAATATACAGGCTCTTCATTCCTTTGTATCCAGCAAATTAATTCAGAACTATTTTAAGTTAATATGGAACAATGCATTGAACTCTATTTTACTTTCTTGCAATGTACACATTATGGTATTATAGATTTCTGCCAGTAGGTTAACTGAGCTATCAGTGTTTAGAATCTTTATTGTACTGGAAACAGTTATTCATATTAAAAAGCAACTTTCCAGATGTCAAACTTCAGGTTAAACAACATATCATCAACAGAACATAAATTTTGTACAGATCAGGTCCTTTTCAGACCTTCATATCTATGATTTGGGAAAGATATATTCTGTATGTAAACCAGACAAAGTTCTGCTGTAATACAATCTGTTCGAAAATAGATCTTGGTGGTTGAAGTTCTTAGGATTTTACAGTCTCGGTATTAAGCCAATTTGATTTCAGAATCAAGAGTCAACCACTATTTTTACATATTCAATTGAAGCCAATTTGTTTTTTTTTTAAAAGTTGGAATAACTTTTAACTTTTTTTTTTAAAATAAAAATATTTACAGTGTATATTGAGAGATAGCATTTTACCACTTGTTGGTGAATGCAAAAACCCCAAAATGTTCATGTCCCTTTGCAATGCAAAATAATGACTGAGAACTTTAAAATACATGCTGCAATGTCTTCAGCATTCTGTAAGTTATTTAGCATGTGCTCAGATTTTTAGAGCTCCTATTACATACTTACAACTTTCTTTTTACACTGATTCCAAACTTAGATGCGTTAAAAAAAGTTGCCATCATCTTATTCTAGCTCAGTCTGGAATGAGCCAGCCTTCTCTGTGGTCTATTTATCAGCCTGGCTGTCTGAGTTAGATTAAGAGCCAGTTACTGTCTGGTGCAGTGCTAGTTTGCTTTTGTAGATGATTACTTAAAGTTCTGTAGGTCAGCTGGCCTTCAATCCAAGCATTCCCTAATTTTCCATTATCTATTGCAGGATTGAAGAGACATGGCGGCTATGGCAAAAGTTCTTGGATGACTACTCTAGATTTGAAGACTGGCTAAAAACCTCTGAGACGACAGCTGCTTTCCCGAGCTCCTCTGGTGTGCTTTACACGGTTGCTAAGGAAGAACTGAAGAAATTTGAGGTGATTTATCATAGTCGAAATTTAATAGCTACTGATCACATTACAGCAGCCAGCTGGTGTTCCTCCTTCCCATACAAGTCACTCAGCAGAGACATTGTATTAATATAGTGGAGTTGATGATTTTGTAGCTGCCTTCAGTGGCAGTTTTCTAGGATGAAAAAACAGTGGAAGGTAGCAACTGAAAATGCTAATAAATCAATCTGCTTTCACTTGCTGTTTGTTCACCAAAGTTAGATTTCTCAGCTTTTTTATTTCTGAAACTTTTTAATATGTCCAGTCAGTAGGTGCTCCAGAGCATTCATAAGTCTCCTTTCACCAAGTACCTCTTCAAATGCATGCTGTATGGTTTAGCTTTTGCTTTGATTTTATCCCTCCTCTTCTTCCCATAACTCACTGAAACCAGCGCTCTGAACTCGTTTCCTGTTTCATGCAATGTGCAATGTCCCCGTTTTAGATCCTTGTACCTGAAATTCATGTTCATGCAAGTATTGTTATATGTCCACATGGTGTCCCCCGTGTCTTAAAAGTTAAGTGCGTACTTCAAAACTGACAAGCTGTCACTTCAGCCAATGCTTAAGCGCTTGTGTCCACTACAATGTGATGGCTTGTCTCATAATTACATTGGAGTGCATACCTGCCTGTAAAGCGCACTCACACCTGTCCTCGGGCTAGTCACAGGTGAAAATCTTTTGCTCAGTTTCATATTTGCAAGGAGTATGTCAAGATGAGAGAGAAAAAAAGCTCTGAAGAAAAACAGCAAATTGCTTAGGCAATTCTGTAAAGAGTCAAGTGCTGTAAAGTGTTTGCTATGAAGAAGAAATGCAAATTTTAAACAATGTCTAAGACCAGTTACTACTTTTTGGTTTAACAAGTAATTCAAAAACCATAAACCATGAAGTGCTGATTCAAGTTTTATAACTGACATTCACATTTCTGAATGTACTGGCCAGGTTTTGTTGTTAAACACTGCCAGACTTCATCATGGTGAGGTAGGTTGCCACAGTAAAAAAATGTCTGCTTCCTGGACACAAGTCCTCTGTCTCAGACCTCCTTCCCATTGTCCCTTTATTCAGTCACTGGGATCTAAATCTCTTGTTTAGTGAGTCTCTGTAGGAGAAACAGTACCAAAATTATCTTGGCTGGCTTTGATTTTTACAGCTGATCTGACTTTGTCCAAAGTCTGTTTCATTGAACCTCAGCCTTTATGGTGACCTTCCCTCTAACGGCAGACTTATGGAATTTTTACTGTCTACAGAGTGTCAGCAGGAGCTAGCTGCAAAGAGAACAGCTTAGCAGCCTCTCCAGAAGCCGCTTTCCCTGCAGTTTGTTCTTTCTCCTTTTTTCTTCTTTTTTTTTTTTTTTCTTCTGAACATCTAGTTTCTACTCCTACCAAAAAGCAGGA